GTGATCTGGATCAGGGTATCTGGATCAGAGGATCTGGATCAGGGGATCTGGATCAGAGGATCTGGATCAGGGGATATGGATCAGAGGATCTGGATCAGGGGATCTGGATCAGGGGATCTGGATCAGGGGATATGGATCAGAGGATCTGGATCAGGGGATCTGGATCAGAGGATCTGGATCAGGGGATCTGGATCAGAGGATCTGGATCAGAGGATCTGGATCAGGGGATATGGATCAGAGGATCTGGATCAGAGGATCTGGATCAGGGGATCTGGATCAGAGGATCTGGATCAGAGGATCTGGATCAGAGGATCTGGATCAGGGGATCTGGATCAGAGGATCTGGATCAAGTGATCTGGATCAGAGGATCTGGATAAATGTAGTTGACAGGATGAAGTAAAACAAATTTAAATAAATCATTTATTTTTCTAAATGTTTCTTCTGGAACTTCCTGATCCGAGTCATTAAAACAAAACTCTGAGTCCAGTTCAGAACCAGAACCAGAACCAGGACTCGGCCTCCTGCAGACAGACAGACACACTGATTGGTTGCTGTCGCCCTCAGAGCCATGCGGCGTGTTACCTGAGCGTGCCGACAGAGTGCACTCTGGGACGTCTGCGCTGCATGCTGCTGCACCCGGCCCACGTCCGCCTGCAGGCCAGGAACTTCAGCAAGATGCACTGTTACCGGATCACCGAGACCTGCGGGCCGGACCAGGGTGGGTCCACACACACACACACACACACACACACACACACACACACACACACACACACACTGGTTTGACGTCAGGCTGTGTTTGTTCTTAATGGGGGGCGGGGCCACAGGTCGTAAATAAAGCACTCTCAGCCCACATCCTGTGACGCTTCGAAATCTCAAACTGAAAACCACAAAATGTTCGTCTCGTTTCCTCTGAGCTCAGAGTCAAACCACGATCTGCTCCGAACAGAAAAACAGCTTCACTAAAGCGTGACATCATTCAGATTTTAAATGTTTTCAACCTGAGTTAATAAGTGCAAACATTGATATATATTACTGGAGTGGGCGTGGCTAGCGCGTTGCTAGCTACATGGACGTGGACACTCTGGAGGTCAATGGACTGTGAGGTGTCATGCTGATGAAAAACTCTTATAACTTCTTTATTTCTTGCTCGATTTTTACAAACAATGGTTCAAAATAAAGCTGAGGAAATAGTGAATTTTAWAGTTATGGAAATAAATAAATAACTAATTTTAAATGACTAACAGTGGCTTAAAATAAGTATTTTGCATTTTGCGTGTGTTTTCTCATTCAAATCAATGAGTTCTGACCAGCTGGAAATTCATACATATATTTATTAATCAGAACTGAGTCTGAGATATTTAAAATAAAAAAAGTAACATTTCAAGTGTTTGTGTACGTCTAAACGTATATTAATATACACATGTATATAGTGCTCTGTCTTTATATAAAGTATACATATATATTTTTTACTGTATATACTGTATGTGTGTGTGTGTGTGTGTGTGTGTGTGTTTAACATATTTCTATAAAAAACTTTAGAATTTCAGNGTATATACTGTATGTGTGTGTGTGTGTTTAACATATTTCTATAAAAAACTTTAGAATTTCAGATGTACACAATACAATATATGTATTTATATTTTCAGCTTAAATGTACACAAGTTTTTGCTGTAAACTACAATAATTTTAACATCAGTAAAAAACAAAAAAAATTGTTTCAGGTCACTAAGAATTGTTTAATGAATTTATTTTTATCACAAAGAATTATTCCTCAGCTTCACAACGATGCAGGCTGTATCTGAAGCCGACCCACAGCTGACACACATTTTCTTTCTCCTTTTTGTCGGGAAGTGTTAAAAAAAACACACAAATACTGGATGTAGACAATATCTGAATAAAGCGACCTGACAACGTGACTATTTATGTTTATGATGCTCAATCATTACATTAGTGTCTGCCATTAGTGAGTCTATGATCATTTCTGAATTATTATGCAGTCTAACTAGTCAACATTCAATAAAGTCCATATTTACATGTTTAATATCAGTAAATAATATATTTGACAACAGATAAAATCAATGTTAAATAAGGTTAAACATGAATGTTGAAGCTGTTTAATGTTAGCATACAGGTTTTACAATTAAAATAATTAATTTTGGTTAAATATGCATAATATTTACCTGTGAAATATAACCCTTTTAGCTCTTGTAAACATATTGTAACAATCTGTGTAGTTTATGAAAAAGTATTTGTACCATTTGTACATTTATAAAGTGTTTGTTTGCACCGCGCTACGTTCTGCTCATTGATTTCAATGGTTAGCGTTAGCATTAGCTCAATGCATAAAAATCCCCCTTGCGAAGCCACGCCCAGGTCACGTGACGCCCAATCCAGTAATGTATATTAATGGATGCAAAGATAAGACGTTTTATCAACACTTTTAATTCTGCACAGAAACATTTAAAAAAAGATTTTAAAAAGTAGAACCTTTGTTTCCTCATTAATCTGAATATTTTTACACTTTTGTCTGTCTCCAACATGTTTTCCTGATTTTTCCATCAGATAACTCAGATTCTGTCGACCCGCCGGCTGCAGCAGCTAAAGAAGTCCAGCCGGCTCCAGAATCCGGTGAGTCCGCTCGGTCCGGTTCTCCTGAGGGGAGCCCAACGGGGAACCGCTCTCACACGGCTCTGTTCTTGTCGGCTCACAGGGAAGCAGGTCCTGAAGGTGTACGACGGTGACGACGCGGTCAAGCGCGGCTCCTTCCGATTGATTTCGGCCTCCAGAGCCCCGAGGAACGAGGAAGTGGTGAGAAAAGCTTTCCTTCCTGAAAACACAACAAACACCGCCGGCTGCTATTTTTACTACCGGTCCCATCAGAACCTCAGGAAGTCTTTAGGAACAAACCTGCAGAAACTAAAAGCTGAGCGAGTCCACAGACTAACAACTATAACAGAAAGCAGAGGGAGCAGCGCCACCTRCAGGTACAGGTGTGTTAGCACGACGTCAGGGTGGAAGGACAGCAGCAGTGACCTGAGAGCAGCAGGTGTTCTGCAGGCCTCAGTGGAAGGTCTGGCCTCTCTGTGGGTCTCACCTGAGCTGACTGTCGTACCTGTTCTGTCCTGCAGGAGGCGGCGCTGAGGGCCTTCTACCTGCCCAACGAGCCCAGCAGCTTTGAGCTGCAGGAGGTCTCGGTTCTGCAGCGGCCCGCCAGCGACGACATCCTGAACCAGAACACCAGCGCTCCGGATAACCGGGGCTCAGCGAAGGACCCCAGTGACTCCTGGCTGCTGAGGGCCAAACCACGAAAAACTGAAARCATCCAGGTGTTCAGCAGCTGGTCCAGGTCAGCTTCAGGCTCCGCCTACCTTTTCATCAATGCATAAAAACAGACACTGAAAAACAAACAAACAAAAAACATCTATTTTCATTTTCTAATTGACAAAAACCATGAAACATCTGTTTTATTTTTGTTAAATAAGGTTGAGCTACAGTTAAACAAGTTTTTAATAACAGGCGGCTGCATGTAAAGAAATAAACAAACACTAGATGACTACCTTTTTATTTCTTTAAAGAGTAACTTACCCCAAAATTAACTTTTTTTAGCTGATAAACTGTCTAGAATGTGTCTAAAATGTTATATAGTACTGTTTCTGTGCTAATTTAGATGTTTTTGTGCGTATTTGTCCAAATCTGTAACATTTGGTCCAAAAAAAATCTTTTTGC